AACAAGCCCTAAATATATATACATGGGTGCATGCAAGAACCCAGGTGATGTGACTTGACTGGACAGCCGGTAGAATGCACTGCACTTGCAGCTGCACGCACTCCACCGCTTACCATCGTGCGTCAGCAAAGCTGCATGGCCGCATGCGCGCAGCAGCGTGCAACTGCCTACACCACCCTGCCACCATGGCCCCGAGACCGCTACAATCTGCTCCGTTGAAAGCGTGGATGGACGGCCACGGAATCGAGTAAGCCAAGGATAGAAACTCCCGAGTTAGAGGGCTACGGAAGTGTACTGGCCTGTGGAATATAATTGTTAAATACTCCCTCCTTCCCAGTAAGGCTCCGTTCGGTTTTGCAAGAACTGCTCCCAGGAAGAGTTTCGGCCGGGAATTCTTATTTAATTTGTATAAGCTTTTGTTAACCGCTGCATCAATCTGCTGTAACCGAACGAGCTCTAAGAAAGATGTTCCGGGCTACGTGCACGTTAAACTTTTTTAACTTTAACAAATGTTTTATAGAAAATACATGTAACATTTATATCTCTAAATAAATTTATTATAAAAATATATTCAATGATCTATCTAATAATACTAATTATGTATTATAAATATCAATATTCTTTTTTATATAATTGGTCAAAGTTAAAAAAAAATGACTTCATGAGAAACCAGAATGACTTATATTTTGAGAAAGGAGAAGTAAGAGAGAGAACTCTAGAGAGGACAATGGACATGATAGACTAAGGGCATGTTTGTCTGAGCTTTTGGACCCTTTCAAAAGTCAAAAAGCTTCCGAAAGCCGAACAGAAGCTCACTCTCATAAGCCAAAAGCCTAAACAAACAGGGAGTGAGCTTATGGCTTTTGGCTAGTAATCTAAAAGAAGTCAAAATCTCAAATAAACAAGGCATAAGGGTGTGCTTAGTTCAGCTTTTAGAAGTGATTCTGCTGTAAAAAAAATCTGAAAGCTGACGATTAATTAGAACATTTGGGATTTACGGGCAACAGAGTAAACTGATGAATGCCCTGTTCGCTTGGCTGAAAGTATGGTTGGTTGATTTATTGTGAGAAAAATATTATTCGTTGACTGAAAAAGTACGGCTTATAAGTCAAGCGAACAGGACGAAAGACTAGCTGAAATGGCTAGTGTCATAAGTATTTATTACATTTAATCTCTGGGAACCGCACACATGCAGGGGTGCTAAGGAGGGCGCACTCATAGGGACGGCGCTGGGATGGACGGTAGCGGGAGGGCGAAGCTCAAGCGGTGGCGACGAAGGAGACAACGGGGAGGGCGAAGCTCAGCTGCTTGGGCAAGAAGATGCCGGGGGGAGGGCGTTGTATCGTTTTGGCCAGCGGGGAATAAGTAGACGGCGCTTGACCGCCAGATCTGAGGTTGGTGGCAGGGGATGGCACCTGGATGGGGACTACGCTGCAATAAGATCTGAGTGGGAGCCGGAGTGACGTTATCGGAGTGGTCTTTTTTAATTTCATAACATCAGCCTGTTCGCTTGCTCGTAAACGATCGTAAATTTCTAATCGGGAACAGTGTTTTTTTCTCACACCAAACCAGCCAACAGTAAATAATCCACGATACGATACGGCCTCCCGAACAGGCTAAGAGTTGCTTGTGGTGCTGAACCTATATAAAATAGCTTAACCAGTGAAAGTGAAGTCGTGGCTGACGGTGCCTAGTATTAGGAACCATTTATTAGTTTATAATGGAAATGGGTCAAATCAACCGATAGTTAACCTGACCCACAAAGTAAGGTCATTGATTCACAGAGTCAGGGATGTTTGATTCATGGAGTAAAGTTTATGAGATGTCATATAGAAGTGTTGTATGAGGTATTCGGATACTAATAAAAATAAATTATCCGCGAGACGAATTTATTAAGCATAATCAATCCGTTATTATCATATGTTTACTGTAACACCACATGTCAAATCATGGACTAATTAGGCTTAAAAAATTTGTCTCGCAAAACAGTCTCAATCTGTGCATTTAGTTTCGTAAATGGTCTATATTTAATACTCCAAGCATATATCTAAACATCCGATAGGACAACGACTAAAGTTTAGAAGGTGAAACTAAACACCCCTCGGTCTCAAAGTCTAAACACAGTATCGAATCGTACTGACTCATTGGATAATATGGATCAACACTCATCAATATTAATAATCTTTTTCTTTAAATTTTTTGTCTTCATTTCTTTCACATAAGCACGGTTGGTCATAACTCGGACTCTATTCTTTGAAGTACGTTGATAAATATCATATTTTAAAAGTGAAATTTAGATAAAATTAAATTGCAACTTATTTTGATGCATTGCTCAAATGTGTCATCATGATTCTTCTTAATCTTTTTTTTTTTATTAGTGTTGATAGTATTCATGACCTATGATAGAAAAAAAATATTCAGGTCAATTGATACTACCCACTAGATGTATTGACCAATGATGCCATAATCTTTAGTGAAATAGTTTGACTAAATTAATCTTGGGCTAGACAGTTGAGTCCAAGTCCGGAGCCGGCTCAGCCCATTTTCATCCGAGTCATAGCAGCACATTATTACATATTATAGTCCAAATTAGCAGCATGTTCGCTTGATCGTAAATAATCGTAGATTATAAACTAGAACAATATTCTTCTCTTACACTAAACCATCCAGCAGTAATATTTCAGGATTATTTAACGAACAGGCTGTAGATCTGATTATGGGTTGCCGATCCAGAGCAATCCTACTCGACACCCAACAAGTCGTACGTTCCTGTGCTCAAGACATTATTTTAGCAGTAATACTTTGGTCCGTGGCTCTGTGTCTGAACACGGCTCCCCGGGAGCAGGTCCAAATAAAAAAAACAAATCCCTATCCTCTTGTACTTATCTGCCCATTCCTCCCTAGCCCACCCTTACTCCTTCGTGCTTATCCACCTGGCCCCAAAGCGGCATGGCTCTTATTTGTCCACCCCTTTCTCCAGCGCGTGCTCGTCGGGCTACCGTGCCGTTTCCTTTCCCCGTCGCCAACCGCGCCACGCGCCCTCGCTCCCTGTGTCGCTCACCTACGTGCCAGCCACCTGCGTCGCTTGGAGTGGCTGCTCATCCGTCTACCCCCTTCCTCAACGCGCGCTCGTTAGGCTGTCGCGCCGTGCCCTTCCCCCCATTGTCGGTCGCGCGCTCACCTGCATGGCAGTCAATTGTGTCACTCGATCACTCGCCATTCGTCCGTCGCCCATCGTCGTTTTGCGCGCCGCTACCCCGTCATGGCCGCTGGGGCACATGTGCCGTTGTGCCTCAAGTCTTCCTCGGCTGAGCCAAGGGGACCCACGAGCGTGGCCGATGCTGGTGGTGCTCGCGTGCCGCGGCTCACCACCGGCTCCCACCCCGACGATTGAAATCGACTGCCTCGGCCTTTCCTCCTCTATGTTGCATATGCATGTTTCAAGTGTTTCAGACGTTTCAGATGTATGTTGCAATTATTTCATCTTGATGTTGCAAAAGTAGATCGGGGGATGTTGCACATGTTGCATATGTTGCAAGTGTTTCAAAGGCACATTGTAAGCGTTTGTTCAAAATGTTTCATCTATTTCCAGACACATGTCGCAATCATTTTTTATGCAGATGTTGCATATGTTTCACACATCTATTGCAACAGTATGTTCCAAATGTTTCAGCTGTTTTCAGTCTTATGTTGCAGCAAGTGGTTTCATGTTGCAAGTTAAAAATCTGGAAGTTTCGTGTGTTTCACACACATATTGCAAGTATATGTTTCAAATGTTTTATCTACTTTCACACGGTCGGGGGCGAGCGGACTGGCCGCGCGGAAACATGAGGTGATGCATCATGGGTCTATTCTTAAATTTAGGCTACGTTTGGTTCATCATTTGGAAAGTGTTTTTCTATAAAAAAGCAGAACAAGAACCAATTTGGTAGAACATGAAGCTGCTTTCGAAATAGCTGCTTTCATGTAGTCTAATTTTCGCAGCATCTTGAACCGTGCTTTTGTTTTTTCTTTCGGACTTTCCAAATGGGTGGAAATAGAGATGTTTCATAACAGTTTCAAGGAAGATATAGAGTGGGTAGATTTCGTAGGTGTTTCAGCCAAATAGTTTACAATTTTTTTTATAGAACATAGGTCATAACAGTTTTTTTCTACCGTTTACAGATTAAAATAGTTTTTTCACAACTCACAACCGATAAAATAGATTTTATTGGAGTAACTTCATTTCTTATACTAATACTAATTATTAGCTGAGGAGAAATAAAACTGTGATAAATCAACACATTTTAACAAAGAATTATAAATGAAACGATAACAGACGACCTCATCATTCCATAATGAAACAAAACACCGCAGTTGTTAAAAAAAACAAAGCACCGCAGTAATTTGGTAAAATCTGATCATCGCAGGAAAGAAAAGGGAGGAACAGCTAAACCCAACTCAACGCGTCCGTTGGGTAAAGCCGGCCCAAAATAATTGAGCCGATGCCACGCTAGAGTCCTGTGAAAACGGCAGGGCTGGAGGCCCGGCAGGGCCCTGCTTTTCTTCTCCGGTTCCCCTGATTACGCTCTCTCACTTGGTTCTCCCGTGGCCCCCTCCCTCGTCTCTGCTCTCGTTGCGACGACTGGGCGATCGCCGCCGCCCGCCGCCCGCCGCCCCCCGCCCCCCGCCCCCCGCTCCCCTACGCCAGGTGCCCAGGTCGTCGTCGGGCCCTTCGCCGGCGATGAACACCCAACAGGTACGTCTACCCCTTCTCTTCTCTTCGAAAAACCAAACCCTAACTTAAGCTATTTGCATTCGGATCTGTTCTATCATATAGTATTATTAATCCTACCGTTTCCTTTTTCTTTTTGCAAAAGTTATCGCGTGTAAATGTGTACACCCATGTTCCTTACTGGGTCCGCCCCTGTTGCAGGAGGTTACTGAAAACTATGCAAATCCTAAGACATGCTTCTTCCATGTGCTCTTCAAGGTACACTGCCTGCAGTTTCTGATCTTATATGCAGCAGAACCGTGGCCAGGTTTTAGCTGATTCTGATTGTTTCTCTGTGAAGGCATCGGCACTGGCGTTCTACATACTGTCCACACTGTTCGTGAACAACTTCGTCATCATCTTTGTCATCACTGTGCTCCTCGCAGCACTTGACTTCTGGGTCGTGAAGAATGTCAGCGGAAGGATACTGGTTGGGTTGCGGTGGTGGAATGAGATTAACGACGACGGAGAGAGCGTCTGGAAGTTTGAGTGCCTTGATGGAGAGGTTTGAATTTCGCAAATTTTCGTTCTTGCTTCCCTTGTTGCCTGTCTTGCCCCAACTGTGTACACCCTGAATTCAATTATTCTTTTTGTTGCAGTCCCTGGCTAGGATGAACAAGAAGGACTCATGGCTGTTCTGGTGGACTCTATATTTGACTGTAAGTGCTGTAGAGGTCACTATTTATTATTATATATTCAGATAGGAATCATAATTAGTACTATTAAAAGTTTCATGTTGCTTGAAGTATTGCTTAATGCACCTCTATATTTAGATGGCATGCAATCAGTCAGTTTCTTAGGCAAGTAACAATGAGATACAGAGCCTAGGTAAAACTACACCCACCCCCACCACCACTACACCTAAATTTACATGGAATGATGGAAACCTATAAACTCAGTAGAAGTATGCAAGATTCCTCCGCATAGAGTTATTAGTTAGAGTACTGATGAGTACTCATATATATAAACTATAAAGTGCTACTTGTACTTCTTACTTGCTGCTGTCATTAAAATTGATATGAATTTATAGGTTCATAGGAATTCTTGGAGATGTTGGTTGTAATTTTATAAGTGTATGGTTATTGTAAACTTTATTTCCTTTGAATCTTGGTACTGCTGAAGTTACCCTTCACCAGAAAAAAGGGGCTGAATCTAGGTATGCGCAGATGTGTGATAGACTTAGTGTTAGATACATGTCTTCAGTTTAATATATTTCTCTGTACCTGTATCCTGTGGGATAACCATCCAAAAACGAGTAGAGTATTTAATATAGTATCAACATGTGAATGTTTTCCATGTATGGTGCTAAACCAGCTGTACATTTCACTCTTCTTTTATCTACTAACTGTATAGTTTGGAAAAATATGAAAATTAATATTTTCCTTGATATATAATTGCAATGGATGGAATATAATATGAATTGAATGGGTTAGTATGGCAATCTGTGGTTTTGAGGAGTTGGTCCAATGTGCCATACATCCAGCTCCCATGACCATGATTAAACCAAGCTGTTTGAAGCATAATAAGTAGTAACTTCTGGTTAAGCCTTTTCTACCAAGTTGTGGCAAAAGCACAAGTGTACATGTTCTATCAAGAGGTTAGACTTGAGCCAATGTGGTTGCTGGTCTGTTATAGTGGGAAATGAAAGTTTGGGGGCATTTCTATAGATTTTATATCTTTATATTTTATTTGTTGAGCAAATGCGGTTATGGTTCATTATTGAAAGTAGAGTCCCGGCGAAGGTTAGGTTTGAGAATTCATGAATCATTTCAATACCATGCTTGGAGATTACGGGCATGCTTGGTTCTTTTTCTAGCCTTGCTTTGCCTAGCTAGCCTTGCCTTATCCAGCCTTGCCCAGCCAAGAGAGCCATTTTGGCTCTCCCTTGCTGGCAAGGAAATCCTTGCTCGCACAGGTCCCGAGACACCCTGGCAAGGAATCCAAACAAGCAGCTTCACTGCATATCCTTGCTTGGCAAGGTTACACAGTAACTAGCCGTGGATCCAAGCAGGCCCTAACACGATCACTATGGAAAATATCGATTAAGTGCACTGCTAGGTGCCCAGGCCATAGCTCTGTTTTTCTTTCTATTTTGGAGTAAAATGGACCTGTTGAATTGTCATAGTGTGCTGTGTTTCATACAGAACTTCAGATAATTCCATTTTCTTAATTTGGAATTAGGAAAAAATTCAAATAGAGCACAATTCTGTCACAATAGATTGACTGGAATGCAGAGGCTTGGATGTTGTGGAAACACTGCAAAGATCGTGTTCAATGGAACCAATGCTAGTATATCCTCAGACAGATTTTTTATAAGGAGGCTCACCTCTGGTGTCTAGCAGGTGCCAGGTGCTTATCTCTTGGAGGTGGTTGCCATATAGGTGTTGGTGATTTGTTTGGTCAGTTTTTATTTATTTATCTTAGAATCGAATGTGACTAAAGTCCTGCCGTGTGGGTGCATTTGTGTGTGTGTGTGCGTTGTATACTCCATGTTCTTCTTAATGAAGTGATCACAGCTCTCATGCGTATTCAAGAAAAAGGAACTGGGAAGCAGAGGTGAAGAAAAATATGGCAAACTTTATGTAGTGAAAATGATATTCATTTGTATCCCCACATTTTCCCATACTTATCTTTTTGCTTGATGTGTAGTCCATCATAGAGAGATACAACTTAAGTTTAAAGTATTTGAAAAATACCATTCCTTCCATGTTTCAGGCTGCTGCATGGATTATACTTGGGATATTCTCGCTCATCAGACTTCAAGCTGATTACCTTCTTGTTGTTGGAGTTTGCTTGAGCCTCAGCATCGCAAATATTATTGGGTTCACCAAATGCAACAAAGGTGCACATTCTCCTGTACTGCATCCAATGCTACCTTGTTGGAAAACTCATGATTGTTGAAAGTAAACCACACAATTCCTTCAAGCTGATCAATCAGTCCTATAATTCTTTTCTGAATAAATTGATCAAAAGTTCGGTTTACTATTTGCAAAGTGTATAGGTAGCAGCAGAATATTGTGGACTATTCTTGTCTGGATCTGTTGCTACATCGTGAACCCTGAAGTTATCTTTCTATTGCTTCGTTATCTAATGCTGCCCTGATCAACTTAGATGCCCCCCTCTCTAGCTTGTTTTCTATTACTCACTATTCTTGTTGTTGACCATTTACTCCAGTCTAAATAATATGGGATTGATTTCACCTGAGCATCCTTTCAGAAATAGTTTTACACCATCTTGCCTGCATACTGTCTGCTTAGTTCTAACATGTAGCACATCTGACATCTCATGTGAACTATGCACAATTTCTTGGGTTGTCAAAGATGTTAGACCTCTTCAATTATATTACATACTTAAATTCATGCCTGCAACGATGCAATGTCATGCTCTGTTCTAAGCTTGACCTTGTATTGCTATGCTTAGGCCTTGTTTAAATCCAGGGTGTAAAGTTTTGGGGTGTTACATCGGATGTTATATGGGGTGTCGCATGGGGTGTTCGGATACTAATAAAAAAACAAATTAATCCGCAAGATGAATTTATTAAGCCTAATTAATCCGTTATTAGCACATGTGTTACTGTAGCACAACATTGTCAAATCATGGACTAATTAGGCTTAAAAGATTCGTCTCGTAAATTAGTCGCAAACTGTGCAATTAGTTATTTTTTTAGTCTATATTTAATACTTCATGCATGTGTCCAAACATTCGATGGGACATGAAGTAAATTCTAGGGGAGGAACTAAACAAGGCCTTATATTGCAGATGCCAAGAAGAACATCCAGGATTGGACAACGAATGCCCTTCTATCAGGGAGCGTCAGGTCGCATCTGCAGTCAGCATTTGGTGTCTGAACAGCAACCTACTCCTACGACCTAGTTATCCGTATAGTGCTGTACAATTTACAGATAACATGATTGGTCACTAGAATGCGTTTGTTTTGGTGTTTTCTGTTGGCTATGTGCATCTTGCTAGGCAGAGGTCGGAAGAACTTTTTTTAAAGCCGTGTATCGTATACTGCTATTGAAATTTTAATAAAATCTTCCTTTATCAAAAAACAATTTACAGGTAACATGATAATGCATTTATATTTTATCCATCTTGTCTAGTTTCATCTCTTGCAAAGCCTTGCTGTAGTAGTATGCGGTTTATCCTGTCAACTCTTGTTCGTAAGAGGTATTTTGTAGTGTAGATGAGAGAGCAGCTTGGTAGAGTGATTAGTAATTTTCGTCTGTCTGTCTGCGTTTTTGGGCAACGTCAGAGGTGACGTTAGCCAGAGCTTAGGTTGATGCGGCGTCAAGAGAATTGTGTTTGGTCAGGATCAGGCGTCCTACATTCCAACTTATTCTAGGTTTTTGTTTCCACAAAACCTGCTTTTTCTTTAGGTAGGCTTATTCTATATCTTTGCTTAGAAGTAACTGCAATATGTTGCGAATGCCTACTTATTTATCTTTCCAATAGTCGAGTGGCATCAATCATTCTTCATCTGCAGGAGGAATTGAAAAAAAATCAAAACGAATGAGGGGTTCATCTAATTCCAAAACAAATTAACTCATGAATTACCGTGGAATTACCGATTTACAACCTACAATGTTGTGACAGTCCATTTTTGCAGTAGCGATTGGCAGGCCCTCATTTTCTTCAGACACTTCTCCATATATATGAATTCACGTGTTGCATAATTAGTCCATGCTGCCCCGTTCGGCTTGCTGAATCTTGACTGAAACTGGCTGAAAACACTGTTCTGGTTGAATTGCTGTGAGAGAAAAACACTGTTCCGGCTAAAAAACAAGCCGAACAAATCGAATATGGGGTAAGCCGAACGGGACCACTGTATGCAACGAAAATCTTTGATATTTGTTCATCCCACAAGGATGAGCGACGTCCGGTGTATGCTACTGTAGATATTTGATGGGTCGCCCCCAAAGGTAAATAATGTTTCCGCGACAAACACACACGATTGCACCGGCGGTCGCAATTGCAACACGGGATTTTGGGATTTTTCGCTCGCCTGGGCCGTCTCTGAAAGCGACGCGTTTCTCTTTCTTGGAGCTTGTGTGCAGACGCAGAATCCCTGCGAAAATTCATAAATTCATTCAAGAACAGCGACGAGCCCATGGTTCTCAGCCAAGTCGCTGCATCCCCAGCGTTATCATCACCTCTTCGGATCCGTGTGGGCAACAAACATCTCTCTCCTCTCTCACTCTGGCTGTGTCGTTTTCGCGTAAACCGTTCGAAAAAAAGATATATTACCTATATATATAGCAATTGTTTCCTCGCCACATGATTTTGCCACGCGACTTCATCGGCGCACGACGGTGACCATTGCTCCAGTAAGGACCGACCCTGTGTACAATAGTGCCGTTGGCTCGCACCGTGTCGTTTCTTAGCTCCCGATCCCTTTTCTGCCAGAAAATCGTAGGGAGCAACAAAATTAGCATTGCGGAGAAAAAGGTCACACGGTCACAGCGCACGCTGGAAAAAACGTCCAAAATGCCGGCCACGTCATCCCATAAACCTTATCCACTTAAATTCCTTTCTTTCTTTTATTTTTATTAGTTTTCCTTGCTGGCCAATGTGGCCTAAATTCAGATTTATATTTCTCAGCAACCTTACATGCCAGACCGGTGGCCAATATGGCCTAAATTCAGATTCAGATTTCTCGGCAGTCATACATGCCAGAAGCTGGAAATTTTTTTTTTTTCTTGTTCTTTTGGGTTCTGCATTACTCAAGGGAAGATTCTAAGGGCCCGTTGGGTAGGGATCTAGATTTTCATAAAAACATTTCAGCTCTAGATTCTCTCAGAAACGTTTTGGATGACGAATCAGAATCACTGGACCGTTTGGCTGCAGAATCAAAATAACCGCGAAACCACGTTTTCATAGATTCATGTACACACGCAGCAAAATGCGAATCGCTTGAAACCGTTTCAAACTGAAACGTTTCAGCTATAAGCTGTTTGGCACCGTTTCTTCGGACCCTACCTAGAATCGGAAACGTTTCAGTCAGCCAAATGGTGCCTAAATATCAAGCACTTTATTTTTGGCGTTTGCTGACAGGGCAGCAAATCACTTGGCTGGAAAATAATGCTGGCGCCAGCTTAGGAGAAAAGGTGTCCAAGAAACGCCTCCACGTCAAACCCCCAAGCCTTATCCACTTGAAATTCTATCCCCATTTCTTCTTGATCGCCCATTGTTTCTGCCTTGGTTTGGTGCTTGAGATTCAGAGATATGAACATAAGTAGAAAGAAATGTGCCTTCAGATTAAGATCGTTTATGCATTTTGCACCTTTTGCGGGGAAAAAGTTGCCGGATTTCAAGTTACATTGACCCAGAAGCAAAATTACGTGGCTGGAAATGCTTCTGCGTTTAATTTCAAGAATCAATTGAAGCTAGTATTACTTATAGAAACAACATGTTTTTATCATGCGACTTGCTAGCGCCCCGACGTATGATCCGGACGCTAGCGTCTAGACGCTACCCTTACAGGAGCGAGTGAGCACCTAGCGCGTCGGGTTCATGACCGAGCGCACCAATAGTGGGCCTGCGCTGCCCCCGGACATCGCCCGCGCCGCTGGCCGCTTCCCACATGCATCTCATGTGCAACACCCGATCTACTTGTGAAACATTCAGATGTAACAGTTGCAACATACAACTTGCGAAAACGTCTGAAAACACTTACGAAAACGTATGAAACACTTGCGAAAGAAGACAAATGAAACACTCGAAACAAGCATATGCAACACTTGCGAAAAATGTCTGAAAAACATTTGAAAACCATTGCAAACATATGCAACATCCAGATGAAATACTTACAAACATACATATGAAACATCTGAAAACACTTGAAACATATGCTTGCAACATGAATGTATATGCAACATCCAAATCTACTTTTGCAACATTCAGATAAAACACTTGCAACATTCGTCTAAAATAGATGAAGCATTTGGAACATACACTTGGAACATACGTGTATAGCCATTATAACATGTGTAACATCTCGATCTACTTTTGCAACATCCGTATGAAACACTTGAAACAGACATCTGAAACAACTAAAAGTCTAAAACACTTGAAACATAGGCTTGCAACATGTCTGAAAACGTCTGAAAAATATAGCATTGCCGGCAGGCTACGGCGTACCTTGTGGGGAACTGCAGTGGCGCAGGCCTCCCCTTCCTATCCACAATGCGAGGTGGATGGTGGCACAGGCGCATGCACAGGCCTCCCCAGGCGCAAGTGCAGGCCTCCCCTGCCTCCCCTTCCGCGACGGGCGAGGTGGATGGGGGTGCGACGCTGCACGGTGGCGCGGCGCGGGCGCGCGGAGGGGCTGGGTGCCTCTCGGGAAGGGTCGGCCACGCACGAGAGACGCTAGAGCAAGCGCTTCATGCTGGGGAGGAAGCGGGGAAGAGAGAGAGCGCCCTGCTGGACCTTGCGGAGGCGGGGTCGGCTGGAGGTGCAGTGTGGCGAGGGGCTTGGAGCAGCTGAGGAGGACACCACGGCCCGGTGGGAAATTCTTCTTTTTACAGAGGTTGATCCGTTGCACAAGAGAAAGGCAGGACTTGGAGCCACGTCCGATGGGATCGGGACGGGACGGGATGGACGTCCGTGGCCGAGCATATCCGTTTTATCAGGATGACATTAACGAAAATTTTGAGTAGCCCCTAGACATAGCGCATCGACGTCCCACATTGTAGGAAGCATGTACCTAACCTAGTGCACGGTTAATTATTGTACACCAAATTAGTGCCGATCGAGCACTAGCCCCATATGTTTTGTTTTTCAAGGGGTTGTACTACGTCTCAGAGAATTTGAGATGCTTTTGGCACGACCGTACCATGTGGGCACATGGGGTGATCAATTCTCTGTCCAAATCACTGTTATCTGTTAAGTAGACAGACGCACAGCATTTGCAGGTGACACGCTACCTACTTATCAAAAGAGAAAGTAAACTGGCAGTTGTGCGCTGTGTCTCCAGATCCAATATGACAAGCTTTCCATCTGTATAAATGGTGGAAGTCGCCGAGTAGAATTTGTACACTTGGCGTCCATTTTAAAGGTACTACATATGAAGTGTGCATCTAATCTAATAATCTAGTAAGAGTAAAATACACTAACGATTGGTCCTTAAACTTGTGTTGCATGAGGATTCAATGGAGGAGAGTTGCTTTGTACCATCCAACTAAATCTACATTGTGCAATGCCATGGTATTTGAGGGAGAAATCAAATAAACAAATGATTAAGATGACAAATAGTAACACCATTTTCAGCAAATGTTAGAATGAGTACCACTCTTCTCTAAATGTCTCCCAGGGCGCGCTCCCGACGAGTACAGTGGTGGTGGTCGGAAACGACGGCGTGCACCAGTGCAAAGGACAGAGTGCGAGAGGAAGGAAGAAGGGATCGGAAGTCTGATAGCAGAATGTTGGCAGTGTGGTAACTTGAGGAAGAAGAAGAAGGGGAGACACAACAGAAGAGGCGAATTGGGAATCGAGGATTCAGAGTTATGTATACAGGGTTCATGCCTACACACCTGTGCTAGCTTGAGTAGTAGGGAATTTGTTCACACTCAAATTTGTCCAAATGCATTACGGTGACTCAGCTTTGGTTAGCCGAGTAAGATGAGGCGACAAAGTTGAAAAAGGTTACTACATGTGCATGCAGGCAGCAGGTTTTGATTCGGATCCCATGATGCGCGAGTACTTAGCGTGCATGGTGTGATTACTAAAAGGAAACAAAGACGGAAAGTTCATATGCATGCAAGGCGTGGGGGGTAAAGATAGAAAGATTATGCATATATATGCATATACAAGGCAAGTACGTAAGCAAGTTGATTTTGGACTCTACAAT